TATATTATTGGTGATATGCTATTGCAGTGTCTGCTTCTCAAATTACGGAATCGCCCGATTCTCCGCCGCATTCGATCGATCCATTATTCGCCACATATGTTCCGCACTTCAGCGTCTTCAGCTACTTCAGCGCCTTCAGCTTTTAAGTGTGACCCGGCAGGGGCAGCCAGCCGCCAGCCTCAGGCGCCAGGCACCAGCAGTCCAGCACCACCCGGAGAGAGTCAGTTGCATTCGTTGTGAAAGCACGTGCGCGCTTCTCAGCTGTGTTTCGAGGAGTGGATCTGTTCCTTGAAGGCTTGAAGTCTCACACCAAATACCAATGACACCATACAAGAATGAACGCGCCAATGGGCAGCTGACGTGGTAGAAACAGGCAAGGAGACCTTCCGAAAAATTTTGGGACATGAAGCAAAAATAGTCTTAGTTGAGTATGGAGTGCTCAGTGCTGGCTGTGGCGCTGTGCTGCCACCTGGCACCTGCCAGTCTGCCACGCTTAGTTAAGTTTAATGTGTCACTCCCGGTACATGATGGTGTCACTCAAATGCCTGATGCCAGTGCTCATTTGGCGAGATTCTACTTGGCCAATTCAAGTAACTCTGTAACTGTTCATTACGCAGTTTACGCTCAATAATTTATGCAATGTGGAGGACACAATTGAACATTTTAATGATAATCATGCTGCAGTGTGCACTGTGCAGTGCACCCAATTTTCCAACCAACAATTGGATCCTGCTCAAGAGTCAAGACTCTAGAGTCTAGACTGGAAGTCTATTTTTTCCTGTATTGGAAAAGTCTTATTTTTTCTGAAATATTGCAGCTCTAATATCATATAATTTTAGCATGTATGAAATCTTGTGGCTTGAACATCATAAATTTCTTTTTGATAGAAAAAATTGCAGTTTGCACTTCACAAACAAGTCGTTTCATAAAATTTTCAGCTTCCACAATGCGCAGTATATATACTTCGATGCAGAACATAATAACAAGTCATTGAAGTCCACCAAAAATGTTTCCCTGAAGATCGCTTAATTGCGGTCTGCATCGGACACCGGTCATGTCAGAGCAAGATTACTGCATTATCATTGAACATTTATCACTTGTTCTGTTTTTAGGGTAAAATTAGACTAGGGTTAACACACCATTATACCATATTCTGACACTGTAGGTAATTCCAACACCCCTCAATTTTTTCCTTTATATTAAGGCCCTAGTATGGAATATATCTACTTGGCGAGCCGCGACTGAATTTTTCGAGCCGTGGTTTTATGGATTTGCCAGCCGTGATTCCATTTCTACGAGCCGTTATTCTATTTCACCGAGCCGTGAATTCCATATCTCGGCCATGAAAAGCCATTTACGAGGTGCGAATGCAAATGTATTTACAAAGTTTTTGCACGTGTTACCCCAAATCTCTAATTTTACCCTTAAACAGTCAAATGGCAACAATAAAATTTGTCTCTACTGTAAGTTCAGCACGTGTTAATATACAGTCTGAGTGTCTGACCGCTTTGACATGACCGCAACTATGCGCGATCTTCAACAAACGTTTTGTTTATTTGTTTACATTGCGATGTTTATGTTTTTTCTGCAAGATATTTTTGGCAGAAACGGTAAAGCAATGCAGATTGCGGAAGTTGAAAATTTTATGAAATGACATGTTTGCGAAGTGCAAACCGCGATTTTTTAATCAAACAAAAATTTATGACATTCGAGCTGCAAGATTTCATACCTACTGAAATTATATGATATTAGAGCCGCGATATTTCAGACAAAAATAGGACTTTTCCAGACTAGTATTAAGCTTGGTCTTAGTTCCACACATGTGTAGATAAGGTAAACGAGGTATATTATGACACTTTGAGGATGTAGCATAAAATTAATGGCTATAAAAATACACCGTACGCGCAACTTGATTTTTGTTTGCTTTACGTCACTCTCAAAATACCACACTACGCGCCAGCAACAATGAAACATCACAAAATGTTGCCATATTTATTTAAAAGCCTTTAGAATGCAAACCTACCATATCCATATATTCCGTCACTGTGTGTGACTAAATTCGGAATTTTGTAAGACTAATTCTGGCCGCGCTTCAAACTCTACTAATTCGTAATGCTGACACACTTGTGTTCAAATTCCGATTGCTGTGTGAGCTGTATTGGAATACGACACAGCTTGGAATTAGAACACTATTGAATATTGAACACTACTTAATTAGGCTTTTAATTAAGAGCTATTAAGCTTTTAATTGAGAAAATTTAAATTTTTGCACACAGCTTGGAATGAGCTGTGTGTGTCTAATTCCAAGCTGTGTCAGAATTAGTTTTTATGTGTCTAATACCATCTCTTAACTTAATCATCTATTAATTTTTTTATCACTTGAAATCAGCAAATACAAGTATACTTGAAGGATTCCTAATATATTCAGAGACGTATTTAAAAGTCTCAAACCATAATATTCTTTCTACACAAACAGTTTATCAATATTTGGTAGAGCAAGGTCAACTATCAACTTTGACACATTTTCCGGTATTCTCACTGGGTGACGTGCACTGTCTCTCTTTGGATCTCGACATATTCCCGCCAGATGGCCCAGACCTAGTGTTTTGGCAATTGTATGCGCGCAAAAGTATGACGTTACTATTTCAACCATCAATGAATGCATGGAACTGAGAAAAAGCTTAATATAAAGGAAAAAATCGAGAAGTGTCGGAATTACCTACGATGTCGGAATATACCGCGTTTACCTTAGTTGAAACTTGAAATAGTGACGTCATACTATTGTGCGCAAGATTTCTGCCAAACACTAGGTCCAGCAAAAAATGTTAAGATCTGCAGAGCGAAAGTCCAAGTCAGAGTAGTTAGAACATCGAAAACGTGTGAAAGTTGATAGTTGACCTTGCTTTACTAAATAGTGATAAACTATTTGTACAGAAAGAATATTATGGTTTGAGAATTGAGACTTTTAAACAAGTCTGCAAATATATTAGGAATCCTTTAAGTATACTTGTATTTGTAAGTGGTAAATAAATTAATAAATGATTGATTTAAGAGATGGTTTTGGACACATAAAAACTAATTCTGACACAGGGTGTCGGAATTACGATTTTGAAGAAGGGTTTCGGAATTACGTCAGAATTAGTCTTGCAATATGCCCATTTAGTCACACACAGTGTCGGAATTCAGCGGTTTTGTAGATTTGAATTCTAAAGGCTTTTAAATAAATGTGGCAACAGTTTGTGACGTTTCATCATTGCTGGCACATAGTGTGGTGTTTTGAGAGTGACGTAAACCAATCAGAACTTGAGTTGCACATACGGTGATCTATTTATAGCCATTTATTTCTTGCTACATCCTTAAGGTGTTGGATTATGGTGTGTTTACCCTACCAGAGATGTGGAGAAACACATTCATGGGACTTGGTAAATGATAAGTTTGTGACTTGTAATTGACTTTTCATGGCGTAGATATGGAATTCACAGCTGGCAAAACCATAAAACCACGGCTCAAAAAAATCCAGTTGCGGTTATGAGAGTAGATGTTTTCCTCACAAGAAGCGTGCTGAGGCTTGTGCGGACTTTGGGGAAGCATCTTCTGATGCTGTGGGGTTAGGAGACTCAGACTGCCATAGTGGCTATCCAGAGTTTTTTAGACTCGTTCTATTTTTACAACCCCTCTCTTTAACTTCATGTCTTGTTGTTTGTTTGTTTGTCTGCTACAAATCTTATAATCTTCAATATGGTATTTTACACACTTCTACCTCTCCAATCAATCTGAAATTTTGCACACTTGGGTAAAGTTGGAGACATGATAAACCAATTGGCATGAACCAATTGACAGAATAAATGATTTAAAAAATTTAACAATTTTTTTGTATATTAAAAAAAGCGGTAAAAAAATATTTTTTTTTTAATATTTAAAAATAAAATAAGAAATTCATTGTACATGTGTAACATCTGAGACACTGGCCTCTTTAGAAGTGTTGTCTTTAGAAAGTAATTTTTAAATACATATTATTAATTTCTTCTACTCAAAATTTAGGCCAATATCTTGTGTATAATAATGCTATTATCCATGATACCATACTGGCCTACGTATAGTTATAGAACCCAAAAAGGTATAACTGGGATTGAATGGGATGCCAAAGAAGGGATGGAAATAATAGAAAAGGGAGCATAATTATGTGGTATAAGAGTTGGGAAGCAAGGAATGGAAAGAAAGGACAGCCTGAGACTGTAAATGATGAAGCAGATGCCAAAGTATAAGTGCATATATGATTGTGGTAAAGGTGGGAATATAATGTTCTATGTGAGAGCAAATGGTTTGAGTGTGAAGTTACAGAAATGAAATGAAAGGTGGAATAAAAGTAGACAGGATATTTGTTTTATGTGTGGCAGAGGTGAGAGGGAAACTGTGGATGAGGGTAGCAGTGGAGGAAGATGTGATGAGGGTAGCAGTGGAGGAAGACGTGATGAAGTGTGGAGCACTTGATGATGGAGTGTGATGCATATGACAAGGAAAGACTGGAAATGATGAGAGTGATACTGGATGCAGTGGATGAGAGGGGTGAGGGTGATGGAGAATGAGAGAGTGCATGGAGAATGGCTGAGAGGAAGATAAGAATGGAGGCCAGAGAGGCATAAAGAATAAAGCAATATTCAAATAAAGTAACTAGCAACAGTAATGTGATAGGACACAAATAATTATTTGGGGCCTAAAAGATACCAGTATTAATATGAACCCTGAAACTAAAGTGCAAGAAGTGGGACATAGCAAAATATAAGACCAAATAACTTTCTTTTTGAACTTTTCTCCCTTATTTGTGTGGTACTTTCTCTAAACACAAACTTTCCCAACTCTAGCCTTTGCTATAATATCATCTCTAACTGACCTCGTTTTCCTCTTCTCCTACTAACACAAATGAATATGTGATGTGTGGCAGCTAGCTGATATAAAGGCCTGACTTGCAAAAGTCATTTACAGGGTCGCCTTGTCCACCAATCCAAATTCAGCACATGCTGGAATGCGTTGTTGTGACTGCCAAGATTGCTGAACAGTGCTTGCTATAGACACTAGACAGAAGAAAGTAGACTGTGTTGTGCAATGATCAAAAATAATACATGTCATTTAACCTTGTTTACCAACTTCTGTGATAAGCACCAAGGAAGAGCTACTTCACTCAATTCTAATATTTGAACAAAAACAAGATGCTTCATTCAAATGAAGTACCTAAAAAGCAAAGAGTAAGAACATGTCAATTCATACCTTTGTCTTTAGATCCACCTTTAAGCCCAAGTAAGTGAACTTTTTATTTTTATTTTGTAGAAATTTTTCATTTCTTAAAACTAATAATAAAATCTATGAAAATTTAAAGGCAAAAAATTGCAAAGCATTATCATATAAGTAAGTACCATATCAATCAATCATTCTATGGAATTAAAAAGAACTATTTCTGCTAGAATTTTTTATCTACCATTATGTCAAAGTTGCTTCCGAAAATTGCCTAAATTAGATCATTCCAATGACTTCTTGGCCATTGTCATCCAATATTTGGAGAATGAGGCAGAATTTTCTAAAACTTGTGAATAAAAACAATCAATTTAGGGACAATTTTCAAAAATCACCTGCATAAATATGCCATTATTCCTTATATTTATAGAAAAGATTAGACAAGGGCTACCTATGAAAACAGGTGAATTGACAACAAACATGGGCATTATCATCTTGTAATTCAGTTTAATAAACAAGTTTATATACCAGTACATGTTTATAGAAAAGCAATTACACAAATCAGGGTTAAACAATTGCTGATAAAGTATACTTGTAAGTTGTAACACTTGAAAGCTTTTTAATTGGTAAATATGCATTGTAATTGCCTCTTGATCTATGGTACTGATTGAATTGAGCTGGTTTGTGGCATAAAATGCAGCTGTTTTCTTGATGTCTTCTTGGTAACTTTTATTACATGCTTGGCTTGGCAATTTTTTTCCAATCCCTAATATTTGGATAGCATGCAAATGAAACTTTCTTCTTGTTCTTAGAATATGTTTTCAGTAATATCTGGAGATAATCATAGCTTTTCTGATGCACTTTGGGGCACCACTAATAAAAATGCAACATGTAAAAAAAGAGAAACTTAAAAAAAATAAGATTGTGTGGTAATAAATTTAGATTATTTTGTTTGTTTTCAAACATGATTTGACCAAATTGAGCTGTCAGTTAAGAATGGAGGGCAACAAAATGCCTACCGTGTGTATAAAAAAAGTTGCCACTTTATGAAACCCCCCTGCCATTTGATGTTTAAGCTCCAAAAGCTCAAGGTTTACATGTATAGTAACCATTGTAAAGGGTCTACTGTCCATATTTACAAAGGGAACTTTTATTTATTTGGAAATTATTCAGGACTAAAATTGACCTTTTAAAATTCAAATCTTGCAGCCTTAAACATATTTTACTATAATTTACTTTTTAGCACATTTTCTCATTTATGGAAAAAATGCACTATTGTGCTCGCCATGTCCATCTGTCTGTCAGTCCGTCTGTCTGTGACCTCAAGTTTTTGTCGACGAGAAAATGTGCTCTCTGTCACTCACTGCAGTGAGTACTGAGTTATATATTTTTTTTAGTTTGGACATTATGTAACTTTATAAATGATTTCAACAGGTGGAGGGTAATGTATGACATCCTAGCAGCTGCTGGAAATGGAAATGTCTACTTTCTGTATTGTAACTAGATCATTTATCAATTTTTTAGCCTCAATATTCCTGCTATTTGAATGATCTTGTATCTAAACTTCATAATTACATAAGCCATGAAATTTAAAATATCTCCAAAATAATTGACTTACGGTACTGCTTTTTTTATCTCAGTAGAAAGTCTAACTTCTCTAAATTTGATACCTAGATGGAGTTCCAAATGAAAAGAGAAATTTTTTAAGCAGCTATTTTATATTTCAAATTTTGTTATTATTAATTTTCGTTATTCATTGTTATTTTGTTATTTATTGTTGAAGATATTGAATATTTTTTCAGCTGCCAATTCCTCTGCTGACTGAACAAAGCATCTCAATTGATAATTAACTTGAGCAATGCACTTTAAGCATTCAATTTCATGCTCTCAGAAGTTCTTGATGACTCATTTCCTGTAAATACAACTTGAAAATATATTCTTGTTCATAAAATAAGTTCTAAAAAAAATTTATGAAACGGGTAATGTTTTCTGCTTGAGAGTGCAATTGTGGCATGCACCTGACACTTTGTTTAAAATTGACAGATCCATGGATATTAGATCAATACTTCTAATTTTGAGCTGAGAATGGAAAAGGAAAGTTTTTATATGATTCATAGACCATTGTATTTTAACCCTTTTATATTACCAAATGTTAAGTATAAACCCCATGCTCAAATATATTGAATAATGCTAAAATTCTGGTGGACAATAGTCTGCAAAATTGTATTATTGTATTGTTGTTTTTCATTAAATATACAATAAATGGCTTTGAATTTGCAGGTGATGCTGTGAACCTTCTGTGGACTGGACTCAGTAAGAGTACAACTCCCTCTAGCCAGGCTGATGCTGTCAACAAAGTGAGGCAATTTTATTTATCACAAATTTAAAAACAATTGAAATGCCTAATCATTGAATATCCTTGCCACATTCAAAGTATTACAAAAGTTCAAAACTTGAAATATTTGACTATACCTACTTCTTTCACTCATAATATTCTGAGTCATAAATTCTTTGTTTATTTGCAATCTTTTGGGTAATCATAAAATGAAATTTATTATAACATTATTAATTGATCAAAATAGGTACTATGTTTGTATGGGATGATTCACATGAATACTGCACAAGATTGTTTGCTATTCCAATATATTTTTGAAAGCAGAAACTGAAGATTTCTCTTATCACATATTTCCTGCAATTCAATGTGTTTAAATGAAAGATACACCTAATTGATTGTAGTACCTACTATTGCATATTAAAAACCTTGGAAAATGAGGCATAGAAGTATTTTGTATTTCTAATCTTTGTCAACTCAATTATGATTGCAAGTACTCTAAGTAATTGCAATCATAATTGCAATCAAGTGTACTCTATAAGTACTTGATGAAAGTATTCACTCGGTTAACATTACTTATATTTTCATGCACTTTTATCAAGTTTGGGGAAGTGAGCAGCAGTGACTGCTGCAGTGATGCTGACATTAGGCAGGCAATAAATCTCCTCTGCCAGTCTCTGTTCCAGTGTCCCCTCAAAGCCCAATTGACAACCAAAATTACCAGGTACTTGATATTCATTACTTTCTTATGAAGTATGTTTCTTGACATTTTTTACTTTGAAAGATAGTTTGAAAATGTCTTTGATTTATTTAGGCTTGAATCCAATAAACTTGATAATTCTGCCATAGATATTTGCTTATTTTCATGGAAGCATTTTTAAAAGTTTTGATTAATTTCAGATCTTTGCACACCATCCAGAAGAACAAACCTGACATCTTCTATCCTGAAATCCATCAGGTCCTGAATAAAGTATTTTTGGATGAAAATGCTGTGCCCCAAAAACTTTGTCATGCCCTTGCCCTAGTCATGTCATCAAAAATAGTCAATATTCATACTGCAATTGCATGTAGCTGTCAAACTCTCAATGGGCTCATCAAGAAAAGATGCAGCAATGAAGGGAATATATCATCGACAAGTATTCAAGACATGAACAACAGTTGTGAAACACAATTAAGTCCTGAGTCTGGAATGGAGCTTCATTTGCATGTAAAGCTGTGTGATGCTGTGAAAAAACAGCTATCTTGTCTCTCTCGAGCTACTTTTGAGTAAGTTTGGATAGCCGTAAAAGTATTGATCTTGCATTAATTATCATGTTATTGCTATTTAAAAAGTTTGACAGTGAAAGGGTCAATAATTTTCTTTGGTGGTTTACGGTGATGGTTCAATCAATTTCAATTATATCATAAAAACTAATGAACAAATTGTTGCAGGTCAGTGCTAGAAGGGTCGAATTATTTATATTTTAGATTTTAGTTAATGCAGTTTATAAAGTTTAGCGGTTCCCAAACTCAAATTAGGTTTTGGTCTTCATGTAATCTAATAAATTAAAGTATTAATTATTTAATTTCGATTCGGAAATTATTTCAGTGAGCATACACCACATGTGACGGTCTCTACAATGCAGCATGAACTGCAAGAACTAATGAAGTCAACAGTTGCCTACCTCCAGACGCTAACGCCAGCACTTGGATCGCAGCACAATGAAACTTGTGGCAGCCAGAAAATCTCTTGCATGCAGTTCAGTGATGCCATTTTTTCATCTCATATGGCACCATTAGCTCAAGTCTCAATCGAGATTCTAGCTGCAAAAAAATCTACGCTGGATCTTAGACTTGTCAGCGGACAACTTTTAGGTGTTTTGGGTACGTTTTGTGACGGTGGCATTCATGCACTTATAGTAGCTGCTCTTGAATTATCTTTTACATCCACGCTGGAGAACTCTGCTTTGGTAGAAATTGTGGCAAGCGTCCAGTCATTGCCTATTTTGGGACGAATTGCGGTATTACACGGTCTTCTATGCACAGTTCCTTCTACCGAGCTTCTAGAAACTCGCATTTATGTCGAAAACGAGAATCCGGCTAACCCTAAAGTGTTCGGAATGGAACTATTGAAACATATCTTCGTTATAGGCAACAGCTCTGCTGACGGAGAGCTAACCGTTTCATGTTCACGATTGCTCAACCATTGGACTCTCCGTGTTCTGTCAGCACGAAGCACATGTGAAAAATTCTCAGAGTTAATGCCAGTTGCCTCGGAACTTGAGAAAAAACTTTTGGAATACTTGGAATTAACTTGGGAGCATTACTTGGATCGAGTTAAGCACACAACTTATGAAACTTTCATGAATTTTCTGGAGATTCGTCAAGTGTCGTTGAACGATTCATCTCATTCGTACTTCATGTCTCTTGCCTGTCGGCTGGTCAGTGTTGTGCCACGTAAAAAATTTGCTGTGAGTGCCCTGCGTTGTCTCGTCAAACATGTCAGCGTTCAAACCCTGTTGGACTCTTTTCCTGGGCTGCCTCTTGCTCTTGTTAAGAACTTGGCTGACTTCTCTCATGCAGGTTGTTGCTCTGAAGCCCTAAAAGCTCTGTTCTTGAAACATATTCAAGAAGTCTCATCAGACGAGTGGCAAGAATTTTGGATTACCCTTATTTTCGACAATTTTTCACTCGAAATGACTAGCTTTGGATTCGAATTGTTAATTAAGAATTTGCTTGAAACTTGTCCCTCTAGCTTAGCCTTCGCCATCAAACATGTGTTGAAACGCGAAAAATCTCTCAATTACGAGCATTACATGCTACTTATCTCTTGTCTGAAAGTGGGCAAGAATTTCAGCGAAGCCGCTGTGAAGGATCACGCGCCAATTGGTGACACCACACAAAGTCTGAAACTGTGGAAGAACCTCATCCCATACTCCATACTACAAAGATGCCTCTTCCATGTGGACGAGTGGGTGCAAATCAGTGCATTTGGATTAATTTGTGACAGCCAGAAATTGACGGACGGATTCGAACAAGAAGAATTGAACCTTTTGCTAGAATTTTTTCGAAGAAGCCTCAGCAATGACGTTCCATCACGACGTCAGGCGATGCGGGCTTCTGCCAAACACTTATTTCAAAGATTGCAAAACTGTTATAAGGCTGCGAAGAAAATTACTATTAAAGGCTTGCTACTTGAAATCGATGTTTCTATAGACGCAACTTTCATAGCTGCTAATGATGAACTGCGGACATACAAAGCGTTTTGTGAAATGGTAACCGATACTTTGTTTGCCTACTTGCATCCATCTTACAGCTATTCAAGGAGATGTTGCGCTTTATGGATCCTCTCAGACTATCAATCCTGTATCGGTGTTGACAGCGATACTTCGGAGCTCAGAATTCAGTCTCATTCCAACTCTAAATCATTTGGCCATGATTTACTCCTTTGTCTGAACGACAATTACTTGCACAACAAGGAGACTGCCACGAAGCTCTTGTTAAGCGAACAAATGACAGGCAATTTTTCTGTAGACAATTTATTTGAATGTGTATTTTCATTAGCATCATCATGTAAACCATCAGATTCCCTAACTGCCAGTCATGTTCTTCAATATTTGCTTGCCTGTCCAGAGCCTCTGCATTACGGTGGCCTTAAGTTTGGCCCGAGAAATTGTCTAGAAATGTGTCGCTGTATTTACTCCAAGTTAAAGTGTGAAATTAAACAAGCTTGTGAAGACATCTTCGCTTCGTCCGCTTCCCATCCCATGTATGGGCTTCTGTTTCTGCTAAGGGTTGTGTTTGCACGCGTAACGAAGGAAGACTTAGAAAAAAATTCTCGCGAATGGTGCGTGTTCATAGAAGAATTAGTTCTCATCTGCCGAGATGTTCACTCTCACGTTCGTTTTGTCGTTGAAAATGACTCACCTGAAGGCAATATTCCTCTGAATTTACCTGTTTTGGAGAAAGTGGTCGAGAATAGTTTGGGTAACCGTGAGTCAAATTCCGTGCAAATCAAGTCTTCGAGTGAAAGTGTCATGTCTATCGACAGACTTTCGAAAGCTACTGGTGTGAGCGCGCAGATGTTGTTGCTTTGTGCTTGGCGAACTGTGAAGGAGATTTCAGGTCTTTTTGCGGACATATGTCAGCATCATGCCATTCTTTTCTCATCAACAGCAAATTTTTCGGTTGGAATTTTCGAGGAGATTAGCGATTATTTTATCCAAGTATTAGCTTTGACTAAACACAGAGGGGCTTTTGAGCAGACTTACGCCGAATATTTACGTGTCTGTGAGCAGTTGTGGCTAAGCAAAAATCCTAAATTCAACGCCGTCCCTGAAACTTGGATCGAAAATATCATCTGTGACATCAATTCCAAACCCGATGGGAAATTTTGTGCTACCCGTCGCAGTGCAGGAATTCCCTTCATCATATTAGGCGCATTAACGACCGAACCTCCTGTTCATGGAAGCCTTTGCCTGCAGAAGACCATGGAGTGTCTTCTAGCTTCGGCATCTTCAGACTCTTCGCAGTCTTCTGACGCACGCCTGCACGCTTTAAACATTCTTCGTGTTCTTTACCGCGACGCGAAGCTTGGTGACTCGATTATTCCCTTCGTCAGTGACGGAGTGAAATCCGCGATCTGCGGGTTCTCCAGCGCCGTGTGGTCCATCAGGAATTCGTCTACTCTTCTATTCGCTGCACTCGTCACCAGGATGTTGGGAGTCAAGAGAACAAAAGATGATCTGCATTCCAAGAACGCTATGTCTGCTTTGCTGTTCTTCAAGCGTTTCCCTGACCTCTACAAGTTCCTTCTTGAAAAGCTTGAGGAGGGAGTGCAGGATATTAATCAAGGGCGGCTGGCAGCGTCCCTCTACCCCATCCTCTTGCTACTAGCTCGGCTCTCCCCGTCCCCTCTGGAGGGCATGACTTCTTCCCTCACATTGGCCAACTTTGTGCCTCTTGTGGTGCAGTGTTCAAAGGCACAAATTTTCAGACTGCGAGATCTAGCTTCTCGTGCCTTGGCTCCATTGGTGTCTCTTGATGCCCTTAAGAACACAATATGTCTTCTGAGCAACCAAACTGGTGAAAAGTCTCATAACTCTATCCATGGAGCACTGCTAAGTATACACCAGCTTCTTCTAGCCTTCAACTCTCACGTCAACAATCATGCATTGAAATCGTCGATCTTGGAAGTTCTTAAGCCTTTGTTGCCTCTTGCAACCCTAAAAAATCCGTGCTGCGTGACACGCTGTGCTACTTTGAATATTTTTCATTTGCTAGCAGAAAAAGGGTGGCTAGTGAATTTTCCTGATTGTGTCGATGATTTAGTAGCTATCTCTAGGGAAATGTTGCAACCAACCACAAGCAGCACGGATTTTTCTCGCGTTCCTTGGTATTCGCTGATGCAAAAATCCGCTGCAGAAATTATAATCAATACTAAGAAGTCGGATTCTACGGGCGTATCTGCCCATGAACTTCTTCAATGGATTCTTTTCCAGAAGCCTTTTGTTCGAATTCTAGCGCTTGAGCGTCTGCAGACAGGTCCAGTTTCGCCATCTGTTCTCCAATCAGTTGTTCAGAACCTCATCAACGAAGAAAACTTGGACTGCCGTATAGCCGCGTATACTGTAGTACTCAAAACACTTGAAAACTCGGAATCAGTTGGATCTAAAAGTATGGCAGATAACAAAGACGAAGAAATCTTTCGTATTGGTGTTGATCTTGGCGTTTGCGCGAAAGAATTGGACGCGCTGCTCAGTCACATCATGACGAAAATTGAGGGCCAAGTGGATGGGCCAGCAAGACTACGCGACGAAGAGCTGGTTTGCATCATCCCTCTCCTGCAACACTTGCTGTGTCGCAAAGACAACAACGTAAGTAAAACATTTGTTGATATTGACGGTTGCTAAACTTGTCTAGTTACTAACTTTATGCGCTCACCGCATCTTAAAATTGACTGTTATAATTTCATTAATTATGTTAATTGATATTCTTTCTTGAAAGATCATTGTCTCCAAATTTACATACTATCTACATATCAGTGACATTTGCCAAAATGTAATGTTAGCAAATACCGCCATTGGTGTCATAAGTGCACTTTAATAATCAAGATAGTGATTTCAATTGCGATAAAACCACCTCTACATAATTACCTCATTCTAAATCTAACACAAAACCTAAATTATTCAGTGACCGTGTCTGGTATTGTACATTGTTTTCAGATGAAGTTGAAAAGTTTATCGTCACTGTGCTGCCACCTGCAGCAGTGGAGCGATGCTGACCAGGCACCAGCAGTGCGGCTGGAGGCTGCTAGAGCTACAGTTGCTCTCCTCCAACTCGCTCTCAGTGATGCTAAACCCTCCCTTCTGGACTACCAGAATGGTAAACTAATTTCTCATCTGTAAAATAGATGAACATGTTTTTGCTTAATGTTACAATTTCCGATAACAAAAATGTTCTCGGTGTTGACCTAGCATAGATACAATTATTTACTTAATTTTCAGTATTGTCGAGCAGGCGCAGGTTTATGAATTGCGGTGGAGAAAAATCAACTCGCTCACTAGATTGCATGTAAAGATGTCTATTATATAGACTTTGTTTAATCCATAATTGATATCTCCGGTCATTTTTATCGCATTTTCTCATTTATGGAAAAAATGCATTATTGTGCTCGCCATGTCCGTCTGTCCGTCCGTCTGTCTGTCCGTCCGTGACTTCACGTTTTCGTCGACGAGAAAATGCCTACTACTCACTGCATTGAGTACTGAGTTATATTTTTTACAGATCGTCTGCTTTTTGCTGCGTTTGAGTGCCTCGTTTTATTACTGCAAGACGATGACTCCGAAGTGAGACGCGCCACTGCGGCTGTGTGGCTCATCCTTCTTGCTCTTGTAGAAGATCCTTCCAAGGATAATGTTGAAGGAGAATTTTCTCCGGTGGATGATCTCAAGAAACAGTTTGGTGTAGAGTGCAATGCTGAAGATGTAAAACGACCCCCTCGTTGTGAAACGAATGTGGGATCCGCAATTCAAACTGTTGTCCCATCTCGTGTAACGGTACCATGCTCAAATGACTGCCATATCGCATCAACTACTGAAGAGAAAGTGGAAGCGACAGGATGGGAAACGACTGCCAATAAAGAAATTACTGAGAGATTTGAGGGAGCTTCGACAGTCACTTCTGATGAACAAGCAAGAATGCAAGAAATTCGTGCTGATCCTAAAATCATCCCTGAATTGGCGTCTTCGAGTAAAGCTCCTCACGCTCTTCGTGCGATAGCTGAGCGAGCAGTGGGAATGGCGGTGGGCCGACAGTGTTTCTACGGAGGATCTGTGCTGGGTTTCACGTCTCTGTGCGCTGACCGCGTCCTGAACGCTCTCTTGCTCTTCATTGGTGAGGATAACGTCTCTTGCAATCTCTGAACCAATATGCAGATAGGTTTGATCGGCAAAATAAGAATAATCATGCTTTTAGCTAAAATTGCAGCTGCTGTAAACTTGTAGTCGTTATTTTGTCTAGTTCAAGACTGAACTGGTTTTAGAAAGGAGACTCATAAATTAGTACTTCAAATTAGTAGTATTTCGCGCGCAATTTTCTACTCGTTATAGTAAAGTATAATAATTACTTTTCAGTTCTCGATAGAATGTAATAATGTATTATCTTCGGCCAGGTAACATTGGAGGTGTTCGGGCCACATCACTGCTTTGCAGTTTGATTTTACGGGACTTGAGTTCAACGGAATTTGGCTTATCCGAGGTAAACTAATTAATGACTAAAACTTTTGGGAGGTTTCACTGAGCTGGAGAAACATCACGAGTTGTTTGTTCTCAGCATCAATTCTCTAATGTGGAAATTTTTTTATGTTTCAATGCTGTCTTCCAATTTTCAATAACATCGTTGTATCGTTTGCAATATTGTAATATTTATTGTACAATATTTATAATGTAACATCGTTTTACAATATTAATAATCTACAGCAACCCAATTTTTCATAACTCCCAGTTTGTGATTACTTGACCAGGAAGCCTCATGTTGATTACGTAAGTTATTATATATTTATTATTGAAGGTGTTCATATAAATTGAATCTATTTTTCTGCAGGAAGATGACCGTGCATTCGACAAAAGTGAGACGAGCACACACAGAGAAGAACTTGTTTTGGCCGACTACGCTGTTGAAAGTTTGATGTGTTCAGATCTGAGGGAAACTTCTGTTATTATGACAGATTTTGTGCTCCCTCATATTGTGGCATTGCAGCAAAATAACTTTTGTTCTTTTGGATGCTGTCTAGAAGCAGGCAACCGTTCTGGCCTATTACAACCTGAACTCGCATTGACTGAAGTAATCGCAATGATCTGCAAGGATATTTGCCATATTTGTTGTCAGCTATGCGCCAAGAAAGCCTTTTCTTGGCAAATCACAAACTCTAGTGCATGGCTCGTAAAGTTGTACAAACGTGTTACATTAGCTTACACTTTGATCCAGTCCTGCTCGCGTAACTTTTCTCCAAGTCCCGCCCAAACTGTGTTCAAGAAAACTCTCCAGCATGTGAAGCATGCCATTCATCAACAATATTTTCAGTCTTCACTAACAGCAAAAATTTTAGCGATTGTGCATCTACAAGTCTAAGTGGAGGAGTCTCTATGATTATCATCTTACATGTTTATTGATTTTACTGATCAGTGTGTCCAAACCTCTCCCTCCCTAGACCCGACTTCAACATTCATATAATCTTAAGGGACCAAACATCAGGTACAGCACTTTCAAAGCTCGCTTAACACGTTGACTCCGATTGCTTAATCTTGTACTATTATTAGACATGGTTGCCAGGTATTTTTTCGGACAAATTCCGCGATTTATTTTTTTTTTCAAATCCGTTGGTCGGCTAAAATTTATGATAGAGGTACTTCTTAATTATTTAAAAAAAAAATAAATGAAAATTTTTCACCGGAACTTACAAATATACTAGTACGGATTGAGTTATAGGCCTTTTCTGGCCTCTTTTATTCGCGGACTTGGCCTTGTTTTAGGTCATCTGACAAACCTGAATTATTATGTACCACTACGTTCTGAAAAACTACATTTCTTGGTATGCATATGTAGTACATACCACTTGGGAGTCAACTTGTTGAGTAAACGTACCTAGCGCCTGAGCTCTCGTCTGTGATACGTTTGTTTGTCAACTGGCTGATTGAGTTGTAAAGAATAGTATTTTTGATAGCATGGCAACAGAATGCGAGCAAGAATACTCGTCATGCTCTGTGCCTGAATGATTATAACGACGCTGCGCTTGTTGCTGTATAAATTGCGGCCCCAGGTCCATAGTTTTATCTTGAACGTTGAACTCCCAGTAGCTTTTATTCCCTCGTTGTTCACCCAATCGTGTTCTCATAAGAATAGTTTTTGAAATGGTGTTAACATCTATATTGTGCTCAATCATTTATTTACAAATTTGTGCACCAAAAAATTATTATTTTGAACGTATACACAGTAGTGTCACTCTGAACAATCATGACAAATGCTTTATGTTTAATTGTTAGTCATTAGTTGGTCAAACAGTTTAAGTCAATTTAGACCGTATTTTTTAATTTACCTGTGTGCACTAGTTATTTCCATGTGTGCATATCAAGAATTTCATACGTGAATTATTTGTAAGATATGTATCATATCAAATGAATGTTTTAGACACACGACCACCTCATAAACATTCGATTAAAACTGATATACAATTGAAGGTTTATTATTTTAGAGCGACATATTTAATGCAGGACAGTTTGTCAATTCATGTTGAATAACTTTTTTAAGCTTGTCGACAGCGAGAGAAAAAATTCCTAAGTGGTGGGAAAGAATTGTCATCAAAGTAGAACGGCGGAATGACAAGAAATAATACGCTGAACAGCAGACAATGCTGCCTGTTTGGAGGTATGTTTTGTCTCTGCTTCTCCTGTCCTAGTGCTATTCTTGGAAATTCCTAGAAGTTTGAGAAAATTTTCAAATAACTGTTGAAACATTATTTGCTTACGCACTTATTGATTGACCGAGTTTTGGGCAGAATTTCTGACCTAAACACAAAGCACACATTTTGGCAAATGCTTAGAGCATAACTCTGGCAATTTTATACAAATTTTTATAACTTTGAAAAAAAGAAAATTGCGAACGCAGATGAGTAATCAGTAATGTATACGGTTGAACTAGTAATGGGGTAGACCAAGGTAGTAATGTGTGCGAATAATGAGTATGTACCATGAGTATTGTGTGCGAAGAGCGTCAGAAGTTTTTTTCAGATTTGTTTTGGATTGGAACAAAATTTTCATCAAATTTGCCTCAGGTGGATCGATCTAAGTGATTTTTTTATTACATCAAAATAACCTTACTATGCCTAGCGTAAAAATTGATTACATATTACATAGACTTGAAGCCCAATTTAAAAAAGAACGCAATTGAGTTTGTTTACTCAAACACCAACAATTATTTCATTTTTTGCAATTGAAAAGAAGTGTTACAAAACAACTTGAATCGAAGTGAATTGAACGTGCGGACACTTTGCTTAATTAAAAAAGAAAGAGCTCACAATCTGGGGACATCTTCTACCGTAAAAACTTTTCAGTTCAATCAATTGAAGTAAAATTGTGATTCTAGTTGTGCCCTGAGAGTAACCTTACGTATGAACATTCGACAAGAAACGAAAGTCGAAAGCTATTGCCAATCCAAAGAATGTCTTCCCACAAAGAAATAAGGATACTTCAGTGGAATTGTCATAGTCTTGGAAATAAACTTAGCAACCTCAAACTACATATATACTCAAACAAACCACATATTGTATGTCTTTCTGAAACATGGCTCTCACCAAACTTTGAGCCAACCTTCATCAATTATAGTGCTGTCTATAAGCATAGATTTAAAGTGATTGAAGTGATTAATTAAAGTGATTGAAGTGATTAATTAAAGTGATTAACAATTATAACTCAAAACTCTGTCGTGGGGCCGCATTGGACTGGTCTTCAGAGGCCCCCGCAAATTTGAAAAAAAAAAAAAAGAAAGCTATTGCACTTTGCAGGAGCTGAGGAGCAAGACTGCTTATGAGTTATGAACATGAAGTTCTGATGAAGACGTGCCTCAGGCACAAGCGAAGCAATTATTACCTGTATTTAAGTCAATTATTCGATTCAAAAAGATATAAGGGTAGGTAAAGACATTCTGAAAGCAATGCCAATTCAAATGAGACAGTAACTTAGTATACGTAGTGTTTTATAGTCTATTATTCTATAATGTTTTTAATTTCTATGGTCAATGTTTGATGTTAAATTCAAATTGATGAATTATTATGAATAACTAGGTATTTGAGCTCAATGCAAAAAAAAAAAAAAAACATTTTGATTATTGTATTAAACTACTAACTTAGTCAAGTTAGGTAGTGTAGGTAGCTAATCTATAGGTAGGCTATTTGTCTTTGAAGTTTATATATTTTGCTATTAGGTTTACTTAACACATTGTTAGTTCAAAGTACTTAGTTAAAACATGACAAATATTGTCTAATTTAGTGTTATAGTTCATCTTTAAATTTAATGGACTAAGAGACATAGTTTGAGCTTGGTATTTAAAGTTGGTAAGTCATGTTTGGCGAGAATAGTGAACATACGGTTACATACCAATCGTCGCAATCGGAATCGATGCTGCTGACTGCTGAGCAAGGGAAAAACTAAAAAAGGTAGTAGAACAGTAGAACTATAGTATGATTATCAACTCCATATAATGATATATGCAGGATTCTGAGGATTGATCATTGATGTTGCTCAACTTGCTCTTGACATGATTTAAATTAATTTATACTATTTTATCACTTGACAGCACAGTCACACAGACTCACAGTCACAGTCAGCACTTGCATAGGGTAAACAGGGTATATTCCAACATCATGGGTAATTCCGACACCTCTCTAGTTTTTCCTTTATATTGAGCTTTGTTTTAGTTCCATGCGTTTGACGTTTGTTGATGGTTGAAATAGTGACGTCATACATTTGCGCGTCAAACTACTGCCAAAACACTAGGTCTGGGCCATCTAGCAGGAAAATGTTGAGATCCAAAGAGAGACGGTGCATGCCACCCAATGAGATCATCGAAAAATGTGTCAAAGTTGACAGTTGACCAGTTGACCTTGCTCTACCAAATAGTGATAAACTGTTTGTGTAGAAAGAATATTATGGTTTAAGACTTTTAAATACATCTGTGAATATATTAGGAATCTTCTAAGTATACTTGTATTCAGGATGGAATTCTAATTTCGGAGGTTCATATATTATTTCGATGATCGATCCACCAAGACCACTTCTTCTATCTAACTTCGTTATTTGAGGCAAAAAATGAACTTCTTAAAGGCTTAAAACACGCACGCTAACTTGCTCAGTTTCTATAAAGTACCTAATCACTTGGAAGTTGTAAACCTGCACCTATCACTCAACAATTAAAATTAGACTTATAAAAAAGTATTAGTTAGTTGAAAATTTGTCTCTTAAGTTGACCACAATGAACTAAACTTCATTAAGTAATCATTAGGCAGAGTTTTTCATCATGCACACTAAACACGCAATTCAGAGTTCAGACGTGACGAACTTCATAACACGTGAGCTAACGTGCTACTGAATTGAATTGCTTCTTTCCCGCTAACGGTGATCTAGCGGGATGATCAATCGTTACTTAATTCGTATACGGTTGTATACCGTAAAATGGGGTAACTTAGACCACTTTTTTCTTTATAACTGATGCCATTTTTTTACCAGCTAAATTAAACTTGAATTGAAACATGCAAAATACAGGTCTATACTCTAGCTTCACTCACCATAAATTGCTGGCTCCTGCCTCTCATAGTCTTTATGTAATTTCAAAAAAAGTGATGGTCTTTGTTACCCCAGCTCTTGGGGTAACTTAGACCGGGTGGTAAAATCAATTATATTTTTTGGTAAAATAACTCCAAATAACTTTAGGTTTTGGTGCATTGTAGTAGAACTCTTCTAGTTACATATGCAAATGACAAACTTTAGGAAAGTGTCATAGTTTGCAAATGGGGGGCGCCGCCCCATAATAAGGGAAATGTGACTACCTAATGGCAGCCCTGATGGGGTAATATTGACTGGCTTGGAAATTAAGTTAAAATTACCATATATAAGACTCTGTGTAGTCTGAAACATAAAGAAAGAACATAAATAGGCTGTCAACCATAAAATATGTTATATATGGTAATTTTATATTAACTTCCAAGCCAGTCTATGTTACCCCGTCAGGGCTGACATTAGGTGGTCTCAGTTACCCCATTTGAGGGCAGCGCCCCCCATTTGCAAACTATGACACTTTCCTAAACTTTGTCATTTGCATATGTAACTAGAAGAGTTCTACTACAATGCATCAAAACCTGGAGTTATTTAACCAAAAAATAAAAAAATTGGAGGGGGTACTCTGACTGGCTTTGAATAATAGCTTTTTTTTGTGGGTCACATTTTAAATTTTTTAACCTATTAGATATGCAAACTTTTCAAATCTTTCTATTGTGTCATGTAGCCTCAGTATTAGGCCTTTAATGCCCATTGACAAAATTTTTCTATGTCAAATAGTTTTTGAGTTGTGGGGGTTTTTGTAAAAAAAACGAAAAGTGGTCTAAGTTACCCCGCCGGTCTAAGTTACCCCATTTTACGGTACAAATTACGAATTAACTAATTGTTTGTATACTTAATGCAAGAGAATGAATAATTATGTTGTTTCTGATCAAACAAACGAAAACTTTTTTTTGTTTCTGATCAAACGAACGAAAACTTCTG